AAAATTTTCCACATTCAATTTGAAGTATAAGATAAGACAAGCTAGAAACTAAATAACAATATTTTAAAAGGAATAGTTTTTTGGGAAAATAATTAATAAAATGTCTATTTCTAAATTGTTACTTATCTCAAATTTTGACGTTCAAAACAAGTGTGGTATAACTTCCAAAAGAATATAAATTGTTATTACTTTGAGATGGATAAATCACTAAGAAATATCAAACATTGATATATAATTGTATTAAAAAATGTGTCATCATATCAGTTTCCTATCTTTTCAAAACAGACTCTAGTTTCTCAATCCTCTTAGCACGACCAATTTATTCAATTTTTATCTCAAAATTCAATTCTTTTCATTCATTTTCAAGTGATGAAGAATTCAATAACTAAATCATTGAGAGCTAAGAAAAGGGAAGAAGAACCAATGAAAAAAAAAAAGAAATAAAGAATAAATAAACAATTGTGCACTTGCGAGTAAAATATATTTAAATGATTTTCAATATTCTTAAACTATGCTATGTTAGAACATCTTGTTAAATAATATTACTATAGGAAAATTATTGGACAAAATATAATTATTTTCATATTTTGTTTTATAATGATTTGTTAAATTAGGAAGGGAAAACTAAGTCGTTTATTTTTTATTGCCTTTATAGAACAAGATCTTCTCTTGATATAAGCGTTTACCTGAGCTAATAAAGTGTTTTATATATTAGCTGCAACAGTATAATTTTCAATTTAGTTAACACAATGGACTTTGTTCTTTAGAAATTGTAAAATTTTCATTTCGTTTCACTTACAAATGAAAAGATCACCAGAGGAGCTAATCAAACCCTATTATTTGCTTTATAACACCTTTTTTTTTTTTTTTTTTTNTAGGCTTGGGGACTGAAATTTATGTTAGTAGTCAAGACCAAGTTGCAGAATGGACGGTTAGTGATTTTGATATTTTAATACCAAAAGAATGAATAGTTAGAGTATAATTATCTTTTTTTTTTTTTTTTTTTTTTTAAGAAAACCTGATAATTGTATAAAAAAACGAAATAATACAGAGAAAAAGGAGGAAAAACCCCCCACAACTCTCTTACCTTGGACAGGCCCAAGGAAGCAAACAAATCAAAAGCCTAAAAGCTGGATGTACCATCCATTACAACAGGCTTAACAAAAAAAATAAGGCTGGACCAAAAAGAAACAACAATTTACAAAGCAAAAAAAGCCCAAACCAAGGTTAGAACAGACTAGCCTTTTGTCAACTTACACCGCAGAAGCCCAAAGTCTCTCTATTCCAATTAGTAGCAAATAGATGATCCATTCAACCTTTAATGACTTCTTCCTCATACGGCCCATGGCCTTTGACATTATTATTATTAACAATTTCATTCTTTAAATTATGTTTTAATAAAACCTCTTATTAAATAAAATAATCGCAGGTACATTATTGAACAAACAATCACATGTAAAAATCAATGAGATATTAGCTAAAGCTTATTCAAAGTCTATAATAAAAACAAGTGTATAGTTATAAGTTGTATTGCAACCTGGACAGATCACTGAAGGAGGTCAAGTAGTGTTAATTAATTTTATGAAATTGATGAGTCAACAATTCATTCATCTTTTCTTTCGTATATATCTTATCAAAAAGTGTGGAAATTGTAAAATGACTTTCAAAAGAATATAAATTTTTGTTACTTTAAAATGGATAAATCACTGAGAGGTGTCAAACCGTGTTATATGGTTGTATTAAAAAGAATTGTCATAGAAGAAATACACAAAATGAAAGTCTAAGCAAGAGTGCACAACCACAAGAAGCCTAATCTCTACAATCTTGCGATCCTATACAAAAAGTCAAGCAAGAGCAGAATACCATAGAATCTCTGTCCATCTCTCCCAATGGCAGCAAAACAAAAAACAACAACAAAAACAACAAAAAGATCTGCATAAAGGGTAGCCTCACTTCCCACACCAAAGCCATAGCCGAGATTATGAATTGTTTAAGGTTACCATGGTCACAACTGCTAGCTTCTCCCAACCTAGGCACAAGGTTTGGCATAGATATCCTGAAGATCAGGCAAACAAGAAACCCCATAAATGATGGACTAAAAAGCCCTGAATTTCCTACTGAAATTTATAATTATATATATTTAAAAACTATTTATATTATAAATGCAATTTTTGCCAATATATTTTGAACATTAATATTATAAATTTTATTATATTATTATGAAATTTGAATATAATTATTTTGTTCAATCTAGTATTGTCCCAAACATAATACAGTATCCTATCACACACACATGTATATATTCAATCCAACAGAATCATTTGAGGATTTTTATGTCTACACATGCTTCTAAACCGTCCCGGGTGGGATAATTAAATGAGTTGAGCTGGTTGTGAGGACAGATTTGAGGAGCAAATAAACGGTGCTGCTTATAATGGCATATGGAGATGATAGGGAGAATGGCAATTGGACTGGCATATCGCATGATTTCAATGAATTGCTTTTCCTTGAAGTGAAGTGATGGACAAGTGTGTCCCTCTTTCTACTTTTGCCCCAAAAGTCTTTCTTTTACATTTACCACCTTATTAAATAAATTGATTCAGTTTCTTTGAATTGGCATGTCTCTTGCTTTATGTTCCACTACCCACAATCTATGCTACTTTAGTCATATTCAGTAAAAAAACAAATACCCAAATAGTAGCAGCTGACAAGAGTAAAGAGAGCAATCAACATCATTTCACTGCCTGGAAAACCAAACATCACCAACATTAGATAGTAATTAATTATTTATGTTGAATCACAACACAGAAAGCATCCAGCAGTAAACGATTATATAGCAGTAGCCTTGATCTAACATATCTAATTAAATAGTTCAGCAACATAATCCGAATTCTAGGGAAAAAAATCCAGAGATTTTCAGAATGACAGCCATCACACAATGTGTCCACAGGCCAAGCTAAAAGGTTATCATTAGTTTGTGCACCAGAGACCAAGCAAGACTGAAACAAACTCTCTAAATTTTGCAATTCTGAACAAAGCAGGTGTTATTGTCTTCCATTGTTGGTCAGTTTGAACTTCTTTCATTATTTGGTTACCTTCCTCCTACAACTGAGTAATGATCCTGTTAATCCTATCCCATCAAGAATATCTCCTTATATGATGAACAGAGGAAACTTTCTTCTGCTGTAGAATAACGTATCCCAAATTTAAAAAGTCTCACCCTTTGTGTGTCATGAGTTGATATACTAATTAATTCTTGAGTACATGTGACAATTTTTCCATGTCTGGTGCTATAAACTGATTGAGGAAAATAAACCCATGGCTGTTGCAAATTAACTCAGCTCCCTCTTGAATACTGTGAATCAGTTTCAGATTGAATTTGAACAAATTGTAGTGAATTAATCTGATCACATATATGTTTTACTTTTCTTGCTTGCTTTAATTTCTGTTTAATTGGAAGAATAATTCATTAAAATTTACACATGGTTGACTATTGTGGTCAACTATAAAAATATTTAACTCCCCACTTC